GAGTGGGTGGGGTGTTGTTGACTCCAGACTCCACACTGATTGAGACTGAGCAACATCCTCAAGGCTACAGGGATATTAAGTGGAAGATTTTTAGCCCAGGCAGTCTGGACTCCAGAGAGGTGCTCTTGCCTGCTGGTAAAATCTGTGCTACCTGTTATTATAATTAGCTGATTGTAACAGCACTGCCTCTTTGGGGGCGGGAGAATGCTTTGTGGAGCCCTTTCTCATACCTGGTCATCTTTGATCTTGAGGTGGCAGAGGAGTCACAGCAAAGGGGACGGTGGGGTCACCCGTTTAGATTGCTGGAGGGCTTTGGGTATGACATCAGTAAAGGGTTTTACAGGGCTTTAAGCCTGCCTTCTCCATCCTCCCCACCTCCACCACCATAAACAAGTGTCCCTGACCCGAACCAATTCCTGTACTGAATGAATTACTGTCAGAGTAGCAGTTCTGCAGCTGATCAGTAAGTAGCCTTAGTAAAGTCCAGGTTGGATTTCAAACTAGGATCTAGAGTTTTTCTCATTTTGAGATAACATGATTTATAATGTTAGGAATTAACTGACTTTAAAGCTTATCTTTTATTACCAAAGCAATTAGGATTTCCATATAAGATTCATAAATATATATTATTTCTTTCTTGTTTTCTCTCTGTTTCCCTATCCTCTTTATCTTTTATTAGACATCTACCTTGTTTTTTCAATATCCCAATATGTGTTTATTTTTTAAAAATACAGAACTTTTTGTTTTTTAATTCTAGGTTATTACTTTATTTGGGAGAGGTTTTTACTAACAATTCACGTTTAAGGTATTTTGCCCTTTCCACATCGGCCACCACTTTCTGATTGTGACTCTTCGTTCATAACAAATTTGCTAGTATATTTTACATGATCAAAGTGTAATGAGAAAGGTTTATGTTTAATGTTTCTTAGTTTGTAGATTTCTAAGGAGTAATAATGCAGCTCCAGTAAGTCTCTTATGTAGTAAGTTAGGGAAATATCTAACCTAGCTAAGCTTTTAAAATAACAATAGAGAAGTAAAAATAAGCTTTTCTTGTAAAAGCGTGACTTTGTCTTTATCAGTATTTAATTCCTACTGTTTACATGTCTAGCAACGATCCAAATGGCCTTCCAGTGGCAGAATGGTGAACTTGTAAGATTCATGATGAGAGTCCGTGCCAAGTCCAATTTGATTCTAGAGCAATTATGTTATTAGAACATTGCTGATTACCCCAGTGCCTATTGTGCAGCTTAACCTTTAAATGCTAGTGATAATTAACTACTTGATCATTCTACCAGGAAACTCCAACGTGCAGCTCTGTTCTGCAGTAAAATTCACAAATAAAATACTGTCCACGGTGCCTGAAACAGCCAGCTTAAAAAGAAAAAGCTCTTTGTACATGTGTGCCAGTTAATAAGCATTACCATTCAGTATTCAGTTTTAAGGAAGTATTTTGTCATCGTTTAAAAATCAGTTTTCCTGACTTCGTCCCAGCTTACCCTTCCCCCTTGACATATACACACTACCAAATGTAAAATAGATAGCTAGTGGGAAGCAGCTGCATAGCAGCACAGGGAGACCAGCTCGGTGCTTTGTGACCACCTAGAGGGGTGGGGGAGGGAGACGCAAGAGGGAGGGGATATGTATGTGTATAGCTCATTCACTTTGTTATACAGCAGAAACTAGCACACCATTGTAAAGCAATTATACTCCAATAAAGATGTTTAAAAAAAATCAGTTTTCCTTTTAGACAGAGTGAAAATAACGTTAAGTGTGTAGTATCAGTAATCATACACATGTACACACAGTTTTTCTTCTTTTTGTAAAATATCACAGCAGTAAGATGAAGGCATGTGGAAGGAGGTAGAGGATTAAGGTGAAGAAGGGGGCAGCGCTGCCAAGTTGCCAGATCCCAGGAATGCCACGCCTCAGGTCCTACCCTGGTTGAACGGTTTCCTGTGGATTTGTTTGGCCAAGAGGCCCTCTGAAAAGGAATGTATCACATGAATCTTGGATTGAGGAGTGCCCGAGGGGTTGTTCAGTCATTTAAGTTTGAAAAAAATTCTTGGCAGTTCTGTGCCACTCACTGTGCTGGGTGGGTGCCCCCGCCCCCAGGAACCCACAGCCTGGAGTGGGAAGCACCTTGTAAACAAACAGCTATCAGTTGATTGGGAGCGCTCACTCATTGGGTGAACAAAATGTTAAGGGAACAAAGAGTGATTAATTCTGCCTGACAGTGTCAGAGAGCTTTGAACAGTGACGTTTAGAGCTGGTTCTTAAGAATGGTGAGGGAGGATTTCAAAAGGAAGATACTGAGGGAAAGGGCATTCTTGAAAGCCAGGAAGAAAGGCTGCCAATGCAATGAAAATAGATGGCGCACCAGGGAGCAACAAGCCCAGAGCTCTGAGACGAGGCCCAGGCCCTGGATTGGGGCAGCGAGTGAAGGGCTTTGGAAAACAGCTATACTCAGAAGTTTGGTCTTTTTTTCCTATGGACGATGGGACACCATTTGTCATTTTTAAGGAAGGGTAAGAATCTCTGTTTGGGAAATGAATCCCAGAAATGTGGAGGATAGACTGGAGAGGGGAGAAACTAGATACAGGCTCTGGCATTAAATATGTTGGGTAGTAACTCACAGATGGTGTTTGTGTGCATGATCTCAAAGAGGTAATGGTTGTAAAAACCTGATCACGTTGGGTCATGGTAGGAAAGCAAAGCAGAAGCATTGACTCAAGTCTTATGGCTTGGGAATGAGGATTGGAACTCAGCGGACATATATGAAAGTCAAGAAGCCATCAATGCACTTTTAAGATTGTTTGGCTTCTAGTGCTTTGCTTCAGTCTTCAGCCTTAATGAATAACGGCTGCCATCTTTCCTGCCACCAAACATAAGAGTGTATGTTTCAGTAGGGATAGTTAGAGGGCTTGGGGCCTACATTAAAGGGACTGATACAGGAAGGAAGCGTTTGGGGTTTTCCAGCCTCGCTCAGTGGGAACTCAGCGGGAACTCAGCTGATCCTTCTCAGTCTTCCTCCTCCTCCAAACTCCCTCCCTGCACCCCTCCCTGCCTTGGAGCTAGTGAAGGAGTTGCCATCACCACGGCTGACCACTAGGGGGTGATCTTTTGGTAGCTATACCGACACAGGGGTGGAAAAAAGACTTAATTATTGCTAACAGACTAATAAGGTAAAGAAAAAAAGTACAAGGGGTAAATTTTTTTTTTTTTCTCGGAACGCGGGCCTCTCACTGTTGTGGCCTCTCCCCTCCTGTTGCGGAGCACAGACTCTGGACGCGCAGGCTCAGCGGCCTAGCTGCTCCGCGGCATGTGGGATCTTCCCGGACCCGGGCACAAACCCGTGTCCCCTGCATCGGCAGGCGGACTCTCACCCACTGCGTCACCAGGGAAGCCCCAAGGAGTAAATTTTATATAAGACGAGTAAAGTTCTAAATGAGGAAAAGCTTTACTGAACAGTTGTCTGGATTAATTTGGGTGCCAGGCAGAGATTCTGGTGGTGACGCTTCGTTCTTCCTAGAACTTTTCCCCGTCTCTCCAAGTTTCCTTGCCTCTGCCCCCCAAGGTCAGCCCTTTCCCACCCCACCTGGGTTACTCTAGTACTCGGGAGTGCTGCCCCGGAGCCCCCCTGAGGGACTTGGCTCTTCAGGCCTTCAGTTCACCCTCAACAGGTCAGCCCTGCACCCTCTCCGTATACCTCCCCTGTAGTTTAGAGCTTCTCCTTGGTCTGTGTGGGACTGAGTCACGAGCCAATCCTTGAAGTTAGTGACAGTTTTCATCAGTGCTCTCTTCTTCATCTATGGTTTTAAGCTGTCCTATCATCTCAGTGTGCCCAGTAACCACCTGACCTCGATGGCAGACTCATTCTCTGTGCTTCAGAGAATTTCTCTGTCACTGCTGTTTGTTTTCTGTGTGTGGTACTCCTCCAGCTGAGAGCTCTTTGGAAGAGCAGAAATGACAGACATGGCCTGAGCCCAAACAGATCACCCCCAACTGTGATTCCAAGAGGGGGGGACCATCTTTCTATTCCCTGGTCCTAATGGGGTTCCTGGATTTCCAGAGGTTAAAGAAAAGAGCAGATCATGGAAACTCTAGGAGTCAGAAAAATAATAAAGTGCATTTTTGTAGGTGTGGTTTTGTTGTTGTCGTGTTGTTGTTGTTTTACCTGCCACTCTGCATCTCCCAGGCCCTTAAGTTGCGGGACTACAGCAAAATTCTGTAAGTATGACCTTTGTGTCACCATATTTGGGTGCTTAAATCCCCAAGGAGTACCCCTCTTTTTTCACTGAAGAATTAGTAATTATCTCTCAAGGTAGACTCTAATTTATTCAGTTTCTCTATAGAGGCTTGAAATACTGGCTTCTCGTCAGCTGGCAAGTTAAGGGTGGGCGGGGGGCTGCCTTTTCCTTCTCCTCTTTCTCTTGTATCTGCTTCCTCTCTCGATAAAATATAAACTTCTCCTTTAGACCAAACTCCCTTTGCCTTTTGCGTTTAACCTATTCCCTGCCTCCTCTTTTTATTCCTCTGCTCCCTCTGTCCCATCTCTACTTCTTCTGTCTTATTCTTTCCTTTTTCCCCTTTTCTTTTTTCTCTATACCTTTGTTCTCATCTTCCTTTCACCTCCTCCCCTCTCTCCTGTCTCCTCTTAACAGCACTGTGAGTGTGTACTAAAGAATGAAAAGGAAATAAAGTCTCAGGTGATTAAAAAAATGACATTGTTGGGCTTTACTGGTGGCGCAGTGGTTGAGAGTCTGCCTGCCGATGCAGGGGACACGGGTTCGTGCCCCGGTCCGGGAAGATCCCACATGCTGCGGAGCGAGCGGCTGGGCCCGTGAGCCATGGCCGCTGAGCCTGCGCGTCCGGAGCCTGTGCTCCGCAACGGGAGAGGCCACAACAGTGAGAGGCCCGCATACCGCAAAAAAAAAAGAAAAAAAAATGACATTGTTGAATGGCTGGTCATCTCTCAATCCCACTTCCCTTTCTAATTCCAGAGCTCTTCGGTATCCCCGTCAGCCAGTTTTCGAGGTGCTGAGAAGCACAGAAACTCCACAGACTACTCCTCTGATAGCAAAAAGCAGAAAACTGAAGAAAAGGAGATCGCAGCTCGTTATGTAGGTTCACTCACCTTTGCTTTGGGGGAGGCAGTTTACCTTGCTTTTTAATCAGCAGCCTTTTTACCCTCTTACTATTACCAACCAAAACTAGAACACAAGATAACGACATCCTAGGAGAGAAAAATAATTATTGCAGTTCTAGCTGTGTCTCAAGTGGCTGGCTGAAGGTCTGTGTTTGCAAGTGAGTGCACATGTGTCTGTGAGCCGCAGAACAGTCCATTATCCTGCAACCGATAGAAGACTTGTGTTCCATATTATTTCTATTAGATGTATTTGCTTCCCTCCATAAATTTCAAGGTGGTCGAATTTTCTGTGGCCAGCTAGAAATGTTAAGGAGAAAGGTAAAATCACAGACAACCTGTTAAAATGTCTAGATGACCTCCTGCGCTGAGGAATGTAGCACGTTTTGTGGAATATAACTTGCAGAAACATCCAGATGTGTCCCTGGCATGAGTTGAAGCTCATTTTCCTTTGGTGGCTGGTTCTTCAGATCACACAGTGAAGGGAGCAAGTGGGATGGGACTCACTGGTGTGGAGGCAGGTTGACTCCACCCCACTTCCTCTGGTAGTGCCCTGCAAGACTGCAGGCCTACGAAAGAAGCTGAGAACTTGAAATTTCATGTGAAACCTCCCAATTTAAAAATTGTGGCTCTTTATCCGGTCTTTGAAAGACACTGACAGAACAAATCCCACCCTTCTGTAGGCTGGATTACGTAGCGTGGGCCTGCCAGTTGGCACCTGATACTAGAGTAATAAGCCATAAACTTCAATTTTTTAAACTACAATGGAATCATCCTGTCTCCTATTACCTACCTCATAACATCGTCATGAAGATTAAAGAACACAGTTCACTGTAGAGTGTTTAGCACTGTTTGGTGCAGTTCGTTTTTATAAAATGTGAGGAGTTAATGACTCTGGACTTACCCAGGGTAAATCTGGCTGCCTTTTTTGTTTGTTTTTCTTTTTTTGGCTGGGGGAGGAGATAATGCTTCTCAATTGTCAATGCAGGACAGCGATGGTGAGAAGAGTGATGACAACTTGGTGGTTGACGTTTCCAATGAGGTATGTTTGTGGCTTATTTGACTTCCTGCTCTTAACCAGTTATAACAATGATTAGTGTCCCAACAACTGGTATCCACAGTGTTTCCTTAATTTCTGAAGGGGCCCACGTTTTATTTACCTGAAAACTTTATATTACTGATCCTTTTTTATTGCTCCTCTACTCTATGGAGTGTAAATGTGTTGTTACCACCATGAATGCACACACCTTGGCAAGTGACCTGCAAATTTGTAGAGTTTTGATTTTTGTTTCTGTTTTAAATAAGTACTATAAATTTTGTAGTATTTTCATTGACCTCTATACTGAATATTTTCTTCAGCAATTTGATGAATCTTATGATCTACTCCAGAACATTTTTTGCTTCTAAGCTGTTGAAGACTTTTGGCTAGAAACGTCCACACCAAGTGCTCTGGCACTGTGTTCGCGCTGTGCTGCATTTGATACCCTTGATGTTCCTTTGTAGGATCCATCCTCACCTCGAGGGAGCCCTGCACATTCCCCAAGAGAGAATGGTCTGGACAAGACACGCCTTCTCAAGAAAGATGCCCCCATCAGTCCAGCCTCGATCGCATCCTCCAGCAGTACTCCTTCCTCCAAATCCAAAGAACTTAGCCTTGTAAGCAGTTCCTCACCATCTTTCTTAGCGTTGCCCGTTTCCAGATGGTTCGGTTAAATTATTTTTAAAATTTCGTATTTTCTACATTTTTCCATAGGACTTTTACCACCAAGCATATGTGTATGTTCAGTATTCAAGATGAATTGACAAAAGTACTTTTGGAACAGAGCAGGTTCACTGACTTTGTTGGTTATGGATGTTTGGTTTGTGAGTCTTTTTGCAAGGATAGGGGAGGGACATGAGGAAATTGAGTGAAACGGGTCTCAGCGAAGATGAAGAAATATATACTGGGGTTACAGAGATGGTTTTGTCACCTGTGGTTTATGGTAAATTTAGTTTTTAGCTTGGATGTGATTTTGTTGCTAGCTTTGTTGGAATTACCAAGCTATATATGATTGCAATAATTTTCCCTTCCTGTCTAATAATCTGTCATTTATAAAAGTCTACCTTGACTCACACCACAAATCAGAAATGCACAAATAAAACTGCTTGCAAGTCAGGGTAATCTCCCCATACCCCCTTCCTCTGTGGCTGTGTAGTTAATTGCATTTTTATGTAGTGTGCCTTCCTTTTTCCTCACCAGTTGTGTCCCTGTAACATAGCATTAAAAAAAAAAAAAAAAAAAAAGACGAATTCCGTTTTCAAATAACCTTTTGAATTCACAGCTGAGGGAAAGAAAATTCCTCAGTTTGTCTGCAGTTTTGGAGAATGTGTCTGGCACAGGGCTGGATAAAGTTTTTTTCTGTTGTTTTCTCTTGGCCTTCCGGCCTTGTAATGGCAGCTCGTCTGTGCTGATCTCTTGTGATGATTCAGGCTTGGATCTTTTTTAATGGGACCTGTTAACCAGGGGAGCCTCTTGTGGCACAAACAGTCCATCAGGAACCCAACTCAAACCACTCAGTATTAAAGCAACCAGCAAGTGGCCAGTCACATCGGGACGCCATGATTTGTCAGCGTCTGTCCAACTCAGACCGGTTTCCTGGAAATGGTCTGCTCTGCCCCAAGTTCAGCTTTGATTTATGTCCTCTTGAACGTTGGTTTTGTGGTCTCAGGAAACACTTTCTGTTTCTTTGATAGCTCTTCTTAACTAATGAAAAGAGAGGCCCATGCTAAAGAATCTTCTCCATTTCTTTGTCCTTTTCTTTTACTCTACCTTTTCAAATGTTTAACATAATGGTTAAAATTGTGCTCTAACTAGCGTGTATATTCCATTGCATCTCTTGTTAGAATGAAAAATCTACCACTCCTGTGTCGAAGTCCAATACCCCTACTCCACGAAGCGATGCACCCACCCCAGGCAGTAATTCCACTCCCGGATTGAGGCCTGTCCCCGGAAAACCGCCAGGAGTCGACCCCTTGGGTTAGTCAGAAAAAAAGCTTCTCTACATATTTATGCTTCCTGTTTTTAAAGAAATCAAAGCAATTTAAAGAGTGTAATACATTAAGAGTACTAACGACCAGCGTTGACTGGCTGTAAGTTCTGTGATCCAAATCAAGCGCCTGGCACTTGCCATGTCTGACACATAGTAGGTGTTCAGTAAAATAAGGGGAAGACATGAACCCTGATGAAGGCTTGAATGACCCCCGAGAATATTAAAATACGCTTATTCGAACTATAGATCCTACTTTTTAACATACGTAAGAACGTGTTGCTCCTGACATTCATTAATACTTCATGATTGTCTCACGTGTGTATCATTGGTTTTTCTCCTTCCTTCCATTTGGGTCTGTAGCCTCGAGCCTAAGGACCCCAATGGCAGTACCTTGTCCATATCCGACCCCCTTTGGGATCGTGCCGCACGCTGGGATGAATGGGGAGCTGACCAGCCCCGGAGCTGCCTACGCGGGGCTGCACAACATCTCCCCGCAGATGAGCGCCGCCGCGGCCGCTGCAGCCGCAGCCGCGGCCTACGGGAGATCGCCAGTGGTATGTTGGTGCGCTTTTACAGCATAAAAGTGTTCCAGAGCGCAGAGGGTTGCCACACGTATTTTTATTTTTTAAGGAAGTTTATGAAATTTGAGGGATTTATAGAGGGACCTGTGTGTATTTATAAATTAAACTGCATGTAATCGTATTGTGAGATTCATTTTCTTTTGTAAGGTGAGGGAATTATTTTGTTTTATGTTCCTTTTTTAAAAGAAATTTTTAAACCTACAGAAGTAAATAATATAGTAAATATAGTGAAGCCTTCACTTCCATCATGAGCTTCAATAATAATACTGTTTTTTTCATGTTTGTTCCACCCCCCAAGTATGTTACCATGAAATCATGAACCATCCTATCATTTCATCAATCAGTACTTGTGTATTTATATCTGAAATCACATTTTTAAAGCATCTATTCTCCTAGGATTTGGAAAGACACTGAGTAGAATGAAATGAGTTGATGTAACCATGTTTGTTTTTGTTGTCTCGCTTGGGAAAAATTTTAGGTTGGATTTGACCCACACCATCACATGCGTGTGCCAGCAATACCTCCAAACCTGACAGGCATTCCAGGAGGAAAACCGTGAGTACCTGCCTCTGTGCTTTGTGTTCACTGTGTGTCTGGGCCCTCGCTGGCCCTTTGGACTCTGAGCACTACTAGACAGTGTTGGCAAGTTCCTGCGGCTTGTGGGGTGGTTCTGTTTTTGTTTTTTGCAAAGTATTTTCCATTTTCTCTTAGGACAAGGGAAGAGGTAATGAGGTGGGGTTTTGTATTTTCAATTTAAAATCTCAAGCTTCTAATATGGAAATGCAAATTGCTGAGGCATCTCCAGCAGTCAGGTCTTCTCTACATCTGTTACTGATTGCAAGACAATTCTTTTTGTTGCCTTGGAAAGAAGAAGTCGTCTTATGTGCAAACCTAGATGTTCAAAATTTGAGCATGTTAGGAAAAGACATGCCAAACTTCAAAGGCTGAAAGGAAAGAAGTGTGGTCTTTTGTGTTTCTGGAAAAAGTGGCTTGCTCAGTTGGGTTCTTGTCCTGTAAGCTGGGTATTTGGAGCCTCTGTTTTCATGACCCCCTAGAGCTATGAAGGCAAGACAGACGCATCAGTTGTTCCAGACTCTTCTTGTACATTCTAACCTCTCCCCATATGTCATTCCTCATCATTCATTTTAATCGCGTGCACTTTATTACTACCTGTGCACAGTTCTCTGGGCTCTTTGGCTTCATCTTCACAATTGGTGCTCATAATTTATGCTTGTTCAGTGAATGAATGAACACATGTGCCGATCTCTCCCTTCACTGACCTCCCATTGCTTATTTATTTACTGCTATACACTCAGGCACTTAGTTGTCACCCTGTTGTTTCCTGTGTGTCTTCTTTGTTCCCCATGTTGCTGGCTCCACAGTGTTAAACATGCCTGACCTTGACCCTTCCTTCACTTTCCACCTGATAGATCATGTTCTTGGCCCTTCCTTCTGTAACTTCTCTACACACTCTACCCTAAACTTCCATGTTGCATCAAACACAGTGTGGTCTCAGTAAGTATTTGACTGATTAATAAGGGAGGCAAGGCAAATTAGACTTTGAGTTCCTTGAGAGTTGAAGGTATAAATATCAATTACCGTAAAATTCTGCGTACTTGTGTGTGTTCTGCAAATAGTTGTTGACTGACAAGTCTTGTTGACCAAGAATCCTGGTGTACTTGAAGGTAAAAGTTAGGTCTGTTTCAAGCAGTGACTAAATAATAAGGCCATAGGATTAATCAAATAAACTGAATACCTACAAGTACCATATGAACCTGTGGGGATGGAGAGGTTCCTTGAGGGAAGTGATATCATCCTGTTTTCAGGTACTGTAGAGTTACCACTTAGTTAACCGGCAGTTGCACCCAGAACTATAGTGTAACCACTACCAAATGAGGTGGTGCTTCTCATCTCTGCTGCTGCCCAGAGGCCCCGAGGGGTGAAAGTGTGTTAGGTATATCTAAAGAAGCAGTAACAGTCTCAGTGTGGGGATTTGGGCCAGTTGAACCGCTGTGAAATCCCAGCTGGTCTGATTCAAGAGGCACTTCTGAGCCTTGAGCTGGGCTCCCTTCCTTGCCCCCGTCTTGACACATAGCATTATAAAATTGTTGAGATCCTTTTGGGAGGAACATTGGTGGGTTTCAGGATGGCTGAGAATTTTTTTTTTTGAATTTTTGAATTTTTTTATACAACAGGTTCTTATTAGTCATCCATTTTATACACATCAGTGTATACATGTCAATCCCAATCTCCCAATTCATCCCACCACCACCACCACCCACCACCACTTTCCCCACTTGGTGTCCATACATTTGTTCTCTACATCTGTGTCTCTATTTCTGCCCTGCACACCGGTTCATCTGTACCATTTTTCTAGGTTCCACATGTATGCGTTAATATATGATATTTGTTTTTCACTTTCTGACTTACTTCACTCTGCATGACAGTCTCTAGATCCATCCACATCTCTGCAAATGACCCATTTTCGTTCCTTTTTATGGCTGAGTAATATTCCATTGTGTATATGTACCACATTTTCTTTATCCATTCGTCTGTTGATGGGCATTTAGCTTGCTTCCATGACCTGGCTACTGTAAATAGAGCTGCAGTGAACATTCTGGTACATGACTCTTTGAATTATGGTTTTCTCTCAGTATAAGCCCAGTAGTGGGATTGCTGGGTCGTATGGTAGTTCTATTTTTAGTTTTTTAAGGAACCTCCATACTGTTCTGTATAGTGGCTGTTATCAATTTACATTCCCACCCACCGGGAAAGAGGGTTCCCTTTTCTCCACACCCTCTCCAGCATTTGTTGTTTGTAGATTTTGTGATGATGCCCATTCTAACTGGTGTGAGGTGATACCTCATTGTAGTTTTGATTTGCATTTCTCTAATAATTAGTGATGTTGAGCAGCTTTTCATGTGCTTCTTGGCCATCTGTATGTCTTCTTTGGAGAAATGTCTATTTAGGTCTTCTGCCCATTTTTGGATTGGGTTGTTTGTTTTTTTAATATTGAGCTGCATGAGCTGTTTATATATTTTGGAGATTAATCCTTTGTCCGTTGATTCATTTGCAAATATTTCCTCCCATTCTGAGGGTTGTCTTTTCGTCTTGTTTATGGTTTCCTTTGCTCTGCAAATGTTTTTAAGTTTCATTAGGTCCCATTTGTTTTGTTTTTATTTCCATTACTCTAGGAGGTGGATGAAAAAAGATCTTGCTGTGATGTATGTCAAAGAGTGTTCTTCCTATGTTTTCCTCTAAGAGTTTGATAGTGACCGGTCTTACATTTAGGTCTTTAATCCATTTTGAGTTTATTTTTGTGTATGGTGTTAGGGAGTGTTGTAATTTCATTCTTTTACATGTAGCTGTCCAGTTTTCCCAGCACCACTTATTGAAGAGGCTGTCTTTTCTCCATTGTATATCCTTGCCTGCTTTTTCAAAAATAAGGTGACCATATGTGCATGGGTTTATCTCTGGGCTTTCTATCCTGTTCTGTTGATCTATATTTCTGGTTTTGTGCCAGTACCATATTGTCTTCATTACTGTAGCTTTGTAGTACAGTCTGAAGTCAGGGAGTCGGATTTCTCCAGTTACGTTTTTTTCCCTCAAGACTGCTCTGGCTATTCAGGGTCTTTTGTGTCTCCATACAATTTTAAGCTTTTTTTTTGTTCTAGTTCTGTAAAAAAAAAAAATGCCATTGGTAATTTGATAGGGATTGCATTGAGTATGTAGATTGCTTTGCGTTGTATAGTCATTTTCACAATATTGATCCTTCCAGTCCAGGAACAGGTATATCTCTCCATCTGTTGGTATCATCTTTAATTTCTTTCATCAGTGTCTTACAGTTTTCTGCATACAGGTCTTTGTCTCCCTAGGTAGGTTTATTCCTAGGTATTTTATTCTTTTTGTTGCAGTGGTAAATGGGAGTGTTTCCATAATTTCTCTTTCAGATTTTTCATCATTAGTGTATAGGAATGCAAGAGATTTCTGTGCATTAATTTTGTATCCTGCTACTTTACCAAATTCATTGATTAGCTCTAGTAGTTTTCTGGTGGCATCTTTAGGATTCTGTATGTATAGTATCATGTCATCTGCAAACAGTGACTGTTTCACTTCTTTTCCAATTTGTATTCCTTTTATTTCTTTTTCTTCTCTGATTGCCGTGGCTAGGACTTCCAAGACTGTGTTGAATAATAGTGGCGAGAGTGGACATCCTTGTCTTGTTCCAGATCTTAGAGGAAATGCTTTCAGTTTTTCACCATTAAGAATGACGTTTGCTGTGGGTTTGTCGTATGTGGCCTTTATTATGTTGAGGTAGGTTCCCTCTGTGCCCACTTTCTGGACAGTTTTTATCATAAATGGGTGTAGAATTTTGTCAAAAGTTTTTTCTGCATCTATTGAGATGATCATATGATTTTCTTCAATTTATTAATATGGTGTGTCACATTGATTTATTTGCATATATTGAAGAATCCTTGCATCCCTGGGATAAATCCCACTCTCTCATGGTATATAATCCTTTTAATGTGTTGTTGGATTCTGTTTGCTAGTATTTTGTTGAGGATTTTTGCATCTATATTCATCAGTGGTATTGGTCTGTAATTTTCTTTTTTTGTAGTATTTTTGCCTGGTTTTGGTATCAGGGTGATGGTGGCCTCGTAGAATGAGTTTGGGAGTGTTCCTTCCTCTGCAGTTTTTTTGGAAGAGTTTGAGAAGGATGGGTGTTAGCTCTTCTCTAAATGTTTGATCGAATTCACCTGTGAAGCGTCTAGTCCTGGACTTTTGTTTGTTGGAAGATTTTCAATCACAGTTTCGATTTCATTACTTGTGATTGGTCTGTTCATATTTTCTATTTCTTCCTGGTTCAGTCTTGGAAGGTTATACCTTTCTAAGAATTTGTCCATTTCTTCCAGGTTGTCCATGTTATTGGCATAGAGTTGCTTGTAATACTCTCTTAGGATGCTTTGTATTTCTGTGGTTTCTGTTATAACTTCTCCTTTTTTCATTTCTAGTTTTATTGATTTGAGTCCTCTCCCTCTTTTTCTTGATGAGTCTGGCTAATGGTTTATCAATTTTGTTTATCTTCTCAAAGAACCAGCTTTTAGTTTTATTGATCTTTGCTATTGTTTTCTTTGTTTCTATTTCATTTATCTCTGCTCTGATCTTTATGATTTCTTTCCTTCTACTAACTTTGGGTTTTCTTTGTCTTCTTTGTCTAGTTCCTTTAGGTGTAAGGTTAGATTGTTTATTTCAGATTTTTCTTGTTTCTTGAGGTAGGCTTGTATTCCTATAAACTTCGCTCTTAGAACTGCTTTTGCTGCATCCCATAGGTTTTGGATCATCATGTTTTCATTGTCATTTGTCTCTAGGTTTTTTTGTTTTGTTTTTTTTTTGTTGTTTTTTTCGGTACACGGACCTCTTTGTGGCCTCTCCCGTTGCGGAGTACAGGCTCTGGACACTCAGGCTCAGCGGCCATGGCTCACGGGCCCAGCCGCTCCACGGCATGTGGGATCTTCCCGGACCGGGGTACAAACCCGTGTCCCCTGCATCGGCAG